ACCTATACAGTATCATAATATATAATCATATATAATCATGTTGACGTACCGCACTGATCGACACTGATTGTGCATTGGGGCCCATTATGCATTCATGCTCACAATCTTTTCAGCATGCATGTGTGACCCCTTATTCACATCCTTCTTTTGATGTCTACATTATTGTCATAGTGGACATGCCTCATGTTTTCAAGGTTACTGCTGAAGCTTCCGGTCAGCACTGGATACGCCTGGCAGGCGTACAACAAGTTATGCCGGCTATATGCGGTTAGTAACATAGCTCGGGTTACCTTGCTTTCGCAGCTATAACGCGCATATGGCAGTTCTGCCTTAACCCTCGAGTTATATCAGTCAGGATATCCCTATGACTGACTACATGATCGGATGGAAGGAGGATGGTATTGACAGGCGCGCGAATTGGATTCGATCAGCTAGGAGAGTACGTTTACACTTGAGCACCGCCGCCAAGCTTGCGCGCATTAAAACGGCACGTGATCGACCATCATGTCTTGCATGCATTTCAGAATTGATCCTCATACATATGTGGAACTTATCAGAAGTCATGCACTCAGTGCCGCCATGCACGCGCGGCAGGTATCAGTTTCGAAATTCCAATAAACTCTTGCAGCTCCCGGGTCAGCAGACAAACTTTGAAATTTGAGTTTGCACGGTCACCGTAACTGCCATCTTTGAAACCGTGCAGCTGGTGAGACTAATAAACTTGATAGATATAATTTTATATAATCCTGCCATGCCCAAACTCTGGTGGAAATACGAGGGCTTGTTTCCGACGAGATTAAGCTGCACCTGATGTTCCTACAAGACCTGGATACACATCTTGAATCAAAAGAGAGCTTAAACCACGTACCTGAATGCCAATGACTCAAAAGTACCTTGCATCAACTAAGAAATGAAACCTTCGCAAGCTTAAATGTCACACTCTCTAAAGGAGCTTTTGCAAGCGTCCTAGGAAGTCGTATTTACCACATTGACATGAGGCCAGGCCTTGCTTGTAGGGTTCTCAGAACCACAACTATTTCAACTTAGTTCTTCTCAAGCTCTTCGTCTAGCGGCTTCTCTGCTTGGACCTCGCTGACGTGCTTGCCCTTCAAAAACGCGATGCAAAACTCTTGGATCGCCTTCGTATCGGCGGTCGTCTCGTATGCGGACTCCAGGGCAGCGTCTGCTTCCTCGTCCTGCAGAGCCCACAAGAGATAGCTTCAACCGAAGTGCCAAAGCAGGTGCGAAGCGGGATGCGGACGCGGAACGCAGTTTGACAAAAAATTACCGGGTCCTTTTCTAAGGATAGGGTGACAATATGGATTTGAAATTAAGCCCCGACCAATATCAGACTGCAGAGCTTCGCTTGGAGCACGCTGCTAACACGCAAAGCGCCGAGCCTCTCGACCCGCTATTTTCGCTTCAAGGGCACCAGCAGAATCTGTAAGGAATATGGAGCGCTGTAACGCCCATCTTACCACTTTGAATTGTGAGACCCGACTCGGACTTGACAACCACTCTTTTCCATGCTCGTGCGCGTTTGTTTTCTCCAACAGATACTCTCCCTGCGTGCTGGTCCCCAATCGACATACTCACATCATGCTGCCCCCCGTTCCCATTCACACTCACATGACGTGCTGGCACAAGCCTAGGACGATCACGGACAGCCCGCCAGCTGACTTGTAACCGCTGCCTCGCTGTGATCCTGCACCCCGAAACCCTAAAAAGCTTACACCCTAATATCATGAAATCAAGGAGAAACAGGTTCCACCCTACCGTGAGCACTCCCTTCGCCCGCCGGTCCTCGATGAGGTCCGTGAGCACGTCCAGATTGAACTCAGGGTGGCCTTGGAAGCCCAGCGCCACGTCACCCACTGCGAAAATCTCAATCGGGGTCCGCTCCGATGCGCCGAGGAGCTCCCCGCCGGGGGGGATGGCGGACGCCTGAATGAACAAGCCCGTCTGTTTAGAGAACGGTTCCAGCGTACAGCATAAGGTTGCCGAATTGAAAAAGGGGCGAAGCGAACCAGCTTGCGACTGAAGCCAAGAGAGAAATATGATTGAGGGTGTTCTCCAACGAGCTGATGACTTTTCGCCCGGGATTCATCCCCGTCCTTCTTAAAAATCTCCTACTTCCTGCTGCTTTGCTGTTTTTATTTATTATCTAATTTGTCGATGCGCAGCAAGTCATGAAGAGCAGCAGACCTGCAGCAGAGTGCGACCTCTAATAAACCAGGACGAGTACAATAACCGCACAGGATAACCGCCGTGGCCTATGACGGATGCCTGTGATAAGGATCCCGTCTTTTTTTGTAACCTGTACTCTGAGTTCAGTCTACTGGTCTGGCCGACATGCTTCTAAGCGAAGTCCGGGGTCAGCTTAAGAAGCTTGCCAAAGTTTGCAAACCAACAAGCGACGAAGACAAAAGCGGAGAACAAAGAAAGCGACAAGAAACGACGGAGGATCTAACCTGGTCCTGATGCGACTCGTACACGCGGACTGTGGCGGGGAGGCCTGCACCGTACGGTTTGGCCCGGAGCTTCTCGTCCACCTTGACTTCTCGCAGGCCCATCTGCCAAGGACGGAATGTGTTGGAGAACCGTTTAATTTCTTATGTCATGTTTCCCGCATTTATGTGCTTCACGGGTCAGTCATTTCAAAATATCAAAGACGTCTCTGTGTTGTGACGCAATCTTGTCCAGTCTGTTTTTTTCTGCAGACAGGCGGGCGTCCTCTAAGTGGCCATGGACACTTGATCGAAGTCACACGGCAATCGCGGATGTCAAAGATCTGACGGTCGAGATTTTGGACGGCGATTTGGAAGAGGGTCTCCGTATCATAAAATAAAAAGGCTGCGCATATCCTACGCCCACTTGGGCATACCCTGAAACGCTGTCAATATGCGCGGGCCGCATACCTCAGTGAGAGGATCATCGAGACGTTCAAGGCAAGGAAGAGCCTTTTTCAGTTCACTGTCATGACGATGCAGTCGAAATGGGCGTCAGAAGCTGACGAACGTCACCGACAGCATCAAGTACTCTGATAAAAGGCAAACCTCGGTGGCAACCTGATCAAAGCTTCTGTATCGAGTGATTCCTTCCGCTGATGCATGCACTACGCCTATGTCCAAAGCAGTTGCAGGGGAAATGGCTGGTATTTGCGCTCCTCACCTCCCAACCCGCAGTCGACCGGCCCGTCGTTCCCCCTAGAGCACGGCAGAGGACCTGCAGCCAACCACCGCCGAACAAGCTATGTCAAGCGTTGAAGTCCTGAAGAAACATCTATGATCAGAGTTGCTTGCCATTTATTGCGGCGGTCCCCTGCCGACGGGTTGAATGTGCCTTTTCGTCTACAGGTTCGATGGCTGTGCAACATCGAAAGCTGGCGTTGAGGGGCCGCTCTTGTGAGACACAGGCTTTTCCAAAACAAGGATGCCAATCTCGTTGCTCGCTGAGGGTACCACCCGGGTTGGAAATTCTCGTGAGCCCTCCCTCCAACAAGAGGCTCAGCGCCTATAGAGGTTTCATATTAGTTCAAAAAATATGCCTTGCCGGGTGCCGATTCTTGCACCGCTTTACTCATTGCCATCATAGAACAGAGACGTTCGCTAGCCAATTTGAAGCACGCTTGCCAAACCTTTGCAAAAGGTTGGATCCCAGGCGGATTCGTCACCTGATGCCCAAAGCAGACGCCCAAAATCCGCTGCTTCTTTGCAAACGCCTCCTTGAGGACGTCGATCAGCTGCAGGATCCACGGCTCGCCCGCTGCACCAAAGAAGCTTTGCTTCAGTTGAAGGACTCGCCATTTGACAAAGCAGCACTCAATATTGGAAGCCTGTCGGCAGATCTTTTGCAAGTAACAGGCCTCAATCGCTTTGCACGTCGCCGAAGGGTTTAGTGACATCGTAAGCGCAAATTGCAGTACTGGGTGATTGCTGCTCATTCACGGTGCCTCTTCACGAAAGAAAGGTGGAAAAGCTGTTTGTATCCAAGATCCGTGGCTTGTCAATTACAATGCTTCTTTTGCCAGGGAATGGGTGGAAAAGCTGTTCTGCGTCTGGGATTCGTGGCTTTCTAGAGTCAAGGCTCATAAGGATAGAAACACTAGAAGTACAAAAGGTGCATTGATGAGTATACTTGAGCTGCAGCTTTCGAATCTTTCTTTGTAAAGCCACGTGTTCAAGACAAGTGACATACAGAGGGAGTCCACAGATGAAACGAGAGCTCTGGGTTTGTACTCAAACTGCTCAGTTCTGCACTGCTGCCGTGCTTGAAGCTGCCATCAATAAGTCCAAGATCAAGAGAGCTCAGACGTCCTTACCATGTGCATCATGGCGACTTCCTGTGAGCACGAAACCGTCAAACTGCACACAAGAGGCAAAGAAAGCTTTATTAAAGTTGATCAAATCACTTCCACTTGTTTACCATCTTTTTTGAAATCTTTCCAATCTTCTTTAGTCCCGTCTTCAGGTGTACCATTACGAAAATAGCACGTCCTCGTAGGTGTGCTATTCTTAAAGAGCATTTTGTAGCCACCGAGTGCCACAGCTCTAAACAATGTCTCAAGGGCAAGGTTATGCAATTGACTGGCTCGTCAAACATAGATATCAGTTCCAGAATGACATAGGCTTTCACTCCTCGGGCATGCCTTAATATGAGATTGTACACTGAAGTTCCTGCACTCAGGAAGAAGTGAACCTGTCTCTTGTGGGATTAGTATATCTACCCAGCCAGTTTCCAAAACCCCACAAGGCTTTTGCCGGCACCAACGCCGGAAGCTCTGATAGCTATGTAACGCATGCTAGTAAACCTGATCAGCAGTGCTTGAGAGCACACCAAGCTTCTTACCCATGCACTTGATTAACTGAACAATTCCTTCTTGCTGTGATTTGAGCTTACCTTGGCCAGTTGCTCTGCTGTGGGGAATTTCCCCTCCAGTACCACAAACCTCTCCCACTCCTCCCCAGGCTCCCTCAAGAGCGTCTCCAAAAGCTGGCCGTAGCCTCCGTACTTTTCCTCGGTGTACGGACTCGCATGACCTGAAAGAGGATGAAACTTGGGGTTGATCAAGTATTTTTATCTCCTGCTCAAAGTCTGGGTCAGTGACTGTCAACTGGATTACATCCAGATTTCGACAGCTTTTGCTTGTCAAGACTAGACGTCCTACATGTCAGCACAAGTTTCGAAATCTTGATCCTGCAAGCAAAGTCGCTGGTATACCTACGTACGATTAGCCCTCAGCAAAATCTGCATTCTTCTGTTCTCAATCTGATAGTTATCAATCAATGACCAGCTTGCCTGACTAAACTGAGGATCATACCAAGAACCTCTGGGGAATTTCTGTTGCACAGCAAAACTCATAAGTGGCCAAATGTCTCTTGTGTCGCTAACTGGACCGTTTAGAAGGCCAAATGCCACTAGCGATCTCTTCCATTGGTCCCTGACAATTGAAGAAGCGCGGTCTAAGGGTTTCTTTGCATTCGCTTGCGGACAACACATTTCAACAGAAGTTGATTTATGTCCTCTTGATAAAGCCCGCGCATTCCCCAAGGACAGGCAAATAAAGGTTGCAATCAAAAGTATCATGTTTCCATAGCAATATGGCGCGTCACCAGATTGAATCTATCTGCAGACAATCGACCGAGCCCCCTCACCTGTTATAAAGATTGCGTATCGGCCAGGCGCACTAGCTTGCCCAGTCGATCCCTGTCCCACTGCAGATGAAGTTTGCGCCATGGTTGATCTTGGAGGAGTCCCGTTCTTGATTCCACGTAACCAAATGCAGCTAAAAGCAGGTCTTGAGACAGGCGATTGCAGCTTGGATCCTGTCTCCCAAGCAAGAGTCGACCTGGCAGAGACTGGAATTCGTTTGCTGGCCTCACGATTTGGAAAGAGACGCTTGGAAGCAGACGTTGCAGAATTGTGGAAAGTTACAGGATGCAGGCAGTCCAATCGAGGCGCTCGAAAAGCCCCTCTTATAGGAGCCTGAACAGGAATCTTCCTCACAATCGACTGCTGGCCTACTCGAGAAAAGTTCCCTGTGTGCAGAAAACAATGAGCTTGCCCTGGCTTGATATGGAAGAAGCTGAGGTGAGCTGGGGCGATTGGCAGACGGGTGAATTGCCTGATTCTGGACACAGCCATCCCCCGAAAGAAGTGCCAGCTGGATCGACGCCTGCAGCCTCGCAATCCCCTGATTTTGTGAAGGTCGCCAGCTAGCAGAGGAGGTAGCCAGCTGGAGACAGCATAATTTCCAGTTGTGATTTTCGATCATTCAAACATCTCATCACTGACACTTTCATAGATTTAATGTCGCATTGTGCCCTCCGTTATACACATAGTGTCAAAGAAAGCTGATGCAACATTATTGGGAAAAACTGGGGTAGGTAACCTCGAGAGCTGGGATCCATTGTCATTGGTCCAACCAGTCTCTTGGCGGCTTTTATGCAAACCCTATCTTTTGCTTCTTCCTACGCCACCTCTTTCTAACTAGAGTATATGTGAAAGCTGACGTTTCTGGGGCCCCAGCCGCAAACGGTTGCTGACGTCTTACCATTACCGGAGTCTGCGCGGCCACGACCGCGCAAATGATAACCGCGGCCCGGGCCGCGCTATGGCAGCCCGGTACGTTGAACCGGGCCGTTCTGCCTTCCGAAAACGACTTTCAACCGACTACCTATGTGGCATGTGCCTGAGAATCGGATGATCTGGCGGCTTGGAAAACTTGAGCAATGAGTTCGAATTGGAAACTTTTTGAACGGTCTTCGCATGCAGAGCTCAGCATTGCATGATGGTGACCACCCTGTAGGACTGCGCTGCCAGCAGATCCCATCTTTCTTGGTCTCACAAGGAGCATCAGCAAGAGAGGTTCTGGAAAGCGCTTTCAGGGTCGTTGGAGGGCGCTTGATAGGGTGGCGAGACCAGAGGTTGGGGCCCTAGAGACCATGGACGGCGATTTCCATGAGCTGGAACGCATGACGCAGCCGGAGCGCAACTACTCCCAAATTCCCGAGGGGTTGATGCGGCTGCTAGAGGCACGCCTGAAAGAGGGCAGGGGGCGCAGCCGAGCAATCATTGCCCGCCACGTCGACCATTTCAGCTGCCTGAAGGGCGAGGACAAGGGTTGGGGTTGCGGCTGGCGAAATATCCAGATGTTTCTGTCAAACCTGCTGGCAAACGAGGAGGTGCGGAAAGTGTTTCCGGGGGAGGCGGCTGTGCCCGACATCCACAGCCTGCAACAATGGTTGGAGATTGCGTGGAAGCACGGGTTTGACACTGAGGGTGCTGGGCAACTAGACTGGAAGGTTGTGGACACGTCCAAGTGGATAGGGACGACCGAGTGCGCCGTGATTCTTCGGTCATTAGGGATCCGTGCGAGCATCGTGCAGTTTGACGCGTCTGCTGCAATCAAGGAGCGGGCCATGGGCGCGAACCGAGATGCCGATGCTTTGGAGACGACCGTGGTGACAGGGTCTGGGTACACGGAGGACTTCAAGCGGATGCGCTGCGCGCGGTGCAAGAAGTGCCCGATCGGGAAGCACTATTACCGCTGCACGGTCAAGGAGAACTACAACGTGTGCGGGGACTGCAAGGCCGCGCTCGACACCGAGTTCAACAAGCACCCCGTGAAGCGCCTGAACCACTTTGTGAGGGTGGAGGCGCCCGACTGCGACAGCGCAAGCACGTCCAAGGGCGGGGAGGCGCACTTTGAGTCGGATCCCAAGCACGGCATCCGGCACAACAAGCTCTTTGGGTGGGTCTGGCGCTATTTCACCGAGGATTTAGGGCTGGAGAAAGACGGTGAGGTCCCAAAGGAGTGCGAGGTGCGCGTGGTTGACAAGCCCCCGCTGTATTTCCAGCAGCAGGGGCACTCGCGCACGATCGTTGGCGTGCGCCGGGCGCAGCGGCGGCCAGGGGGATCCCCGGAAACATCGCTCCTGATCTTGGAGCCGTGCGAAGAGACGGAAGAGCTCGCGGCGATGCTCCGGGGGAGGGATCCCGCGTGGCGGCGTGTGCTGGAGTTCGGCGAGCGCGAGCTTTGGAAGCCGGTGTATCAGATCTGCTATGTGCGGCCGGGGCTTATGTCCCAAGAAGAATTGGAGAAGTCGAAGGTGCTGACGAGCGTCAACTACAAGGAATGATTTGTTGGGGAGTGCTGGCTAGGGTTAGGTTCGGACAGGTTATCTGCGCACGCAGCCCGTGCACGCAGTTCAAACAGTAGTGGAACCGTCGCTCGCAGGGGTCGGCGGTGGTCAATAGGGCTGCCTGCGCTAACCCGTTTGCTCGCTTTTTTATAGTTATGAAGCGCTTAGTCCTTCAACAACTGATCTACTGTCCATGTGAGCTTTTCATCCAAGTGCTGGAACGTCCGCCGTACTTAGAATTGCTTCCTTGACATTATTGGCTTGTAGTTGCTGGCAGCACGCACGTGTGATGTCTGGCAGCTGCTGTGGTTCTGTCACACACACGAGATCAGTGTTTAAAGACTTGACGTGACAGTGGTTGGCACATTAGGGATCATGGAAGTCGGAAGGCCACGATGACATTCTGAAGCTGCCAGTGTTCGTGTATTGCAAAGAGCAGCATGTCTTCATGACGAAGTATGTTGGAATTGGGGCAATTGCGAAGCATGTTTTTAGGTTTGGTTGCGCCTGACCACTGTTAGAGCGCTCAAAAATTGCATCATGCAAGAGAATGTTGAGTCACGAGCTGGTCCTACCATTTAATATGTATGTAGCCTACTAGGACGGAAGAAAGTGCTGTAGACAAATTAAAGCAGCACAAATGTACAGACTGTCCTATAAAGTCACCGTCATTGCCCCGCTATGTTTGATTTTCCATGAAGGCTCATGCACGCGCTGCCTGCAGTCGTATACACCGTGCACGCAGCTTCCCACTGGATATACAGACATCCGATCCCACTGGCATGCATGCGATCTAGTCAGCTAGAATACGGATGTCAATCTGCATATTTAAGGTACATGCTGTGCACTACGCCGTGCCGTCAAGAGAAGTGGGGACTAAGACAGGCCATGCAGGATATACACATACGCTCCAACCAATCGTACATATGTGCATTCGAACTACAGCTCATCATTTTGTATAACTCGGGCCCAACGTTTCTATAGCGCTTCAAATGTTTTCACGTACGAAGTCAAGAAGTTTTATATTGTGTTGGAGGCCCCTATCAAGATGCGTTAATTGGGGCCAAATTTTGCACCACGCACAACTTGCAATGCGGTACTAGCTAAACGTCACAATTGGTCCGGTCCGTGATCATGCAATTTTGACAACACAAGAGCGTGAAAACGTCGTCTCTAAGATAGCTGCAAAAGAAACGTATACGGGCACGTGTGTGATGCATGCCACACAGCCTTGTAAAAGCCGCTTCAATACTCCAATGATGGATAATAAGGCGGCCACACCAATAACACTACAACATGGTTGATTCACGTCTGCACAGCTGCATAACGTGGCAGACCCAAGGAGCGGCCAGACATCAGTCACACTAATAGGGTTTGTATGTAGTCGCACTAGATCCATCCTCTCCACGTTTTTTCTCCACTTTTAGACGCTTGCCTCCAATTGTGATGCCATTCAACGCCTGAATGGCAGCATCTGCTGACTCAACATTGTCGTAACTAACGAACCTGCACAACGAAACGCCCACTGTCAGAACATAAGCATCTTTGCCCCAGCTCTCCACACTCTCTCATAAAACCAACCTTCACCAGCAAGAAGCACGAAAAGACTCCATTCAACACTGAACAGCTCAGCGCCTCTCTATCTTTGATCGAGTTCATGCAGCTAGAATCGCAACTGACTGTGGCTGCACGCACGCACTTGGGAAGAAGTGACCACCAAGATAAGGAAACCGCTGGAGCAACCAATCTCAACAACCATGAAACCAATCAAGATACGTGATTTTAAAAAGGGAGCCTCGACTGCAAAGCCAAGCGCTACAAAGGCGGCACGGCAGGACTAAAGAGGGCGTCCCCAAACGTGGCTCTCCAACATGTCCCTGCTGATTCGAAAAGAAGTACTCCTTTGGGCGACCTCCAGAGCGGAGTCTCGTCTAGACGGTCGCTTGGGCGGACCAATCCCCCAACGCCCTATTTGAGTTCTCTCCAGACCGGGCAAGAAACTCACCCGAACCCCTTGCTTTTGCCAGTGTCCCGGTCCATCCCGACCTTGGCGTGGATCACCTTCCCGAACGGGAGGAACGTCTGCAGTAGCTTGTCGTCGTCAAAGTCGTCAGGGATGCGGAAGATGAACAGGTTCGCCCCCGGGGGGCCCTGTAGAGAGAAGCACCGAGAGTGAACATTCATTGCTGGACTCTGTTCAGCTACAAGAAGCAGCTCCAATACGACGTGAAGGACTCAAACAAGCTGAGAGCCGAGTTCTCCAATGCAGGAGTCCTAAAAGGTAGCGAAGTGCAGGTTAGCCGCTGCTCGAGCGAGTCGCCGAAATGCGAGATGATTGGCACACATTTCACCGGGATGAAAAGCGTAGAAGTGCTGCCGCCATGGCGTCCGCAGGCAAAGGATACCGTACGGCCGGAGCCCCGTCCTATTTTACAAATAGGACGCAGCTTATAACAAATAGGACGAAGCTTGATCAGCTATTTGAAAAGCCAATATACTTGTTGCAGCCTTCTCAGGAAGAGAACCACGTAATGCAGCCTACTTCTCAAGAAGAGGGAAGGCAAAAACAGGACGAATGAAAGACCATACGTGATAAGAAGAAGGTATGCAAAGAAGTGAGGTAAAGGAGCATCCAGCTCACGTTCTGATGCTGATACTGGGCCGCCTTCCCACCAGCGGGCGGTGCGGTGAATGCGGGCTGTTGGGGGGGCTGATACGGGGCGGCTTGGGGAGGCGCGTACTGCTGAGCAGGAGCCGAGTACTGGGGCGCAGCGTATTGCGGCTGCAAATGAGGGGGGAACAATCAGAACTCTGCGTCTGAGTTTGACTGGAACACGTGAGGAGTAAACGTTAACCCGCTTTTGCTTAGATAAATTACAGAAACAGCGAGATTTACTGGGCTGATAACGGGGCGGCTTGGGGAGGGGCGAACTGCTGAGCCGGGGCCGAATACTGGGGCGCAGCGTATGGAGGCTGCAAAGGAAGGGGCATAGTGTTTCTCATAATCCTGACTGAGACGACGCGTGTTAAAAAGTGTCTACTCGACATGCGTACCCTTTGCATGCAAAACGGGAACAGCGAAACATGATGAGGCTTTGCACAACCAACTTAGGGTCATCCCTAAGACCGGTATCCACCGCCGCTTGATGCAAACCGTGAAGAAAGTGCAACAAATGGACGAGAGGAAAGCACTGAGCAATCTAAATCCACTCCCCTGGCAGTGGCCGGCGAGAGTCATCTCGGCCGGCTTTTACTTGTGCAAATTAAGGAGAAAAGAAGAGGGGACCGGCCAGCTTCCTCAGGTGCAGACGACAAGGAGAACATAAGAAGAACATGCAAACGGAAGGGAACATGTGCAGGATACCGCAGCCCCCCGGGGCCACGGCAGGCACTGCCATTTCGGCTGGCTTTTGGCTTTTCTTTCTGTAGGCCAAAGAAAAAGAAACGAGAAAAAGGAAACCATTGAAAGAGGGAATGCATGTGAAGGAACCGCGGCTCACCTGCGCAGCCGGGGGCGCAGACATCTCCGCCGGCTTCTCCCAGGAGCTCTGCCCCGTCTTTGCGTTGTAGTAGTACTTTAGCCCCTCCGGAGACGTGTGCTCCGTCCAGTCGCTCGCGGCTGGGGCGGGCGCGGCCGGCGCATACTGGGGAAGAAAAGAACGTGTCAGAACCGAATGACAGGAACACGAAACTTCCCGTGGATCCTCAAAGGCATCGGCTTCCAGCTTGTTACCATATTTTCGATCTGGTACTTTGACATTACATGTGCCTTGACACACGAGGTGATGGCGAAGGGGGATTTCGGCAGTCTTCCCCGGATGCCCGCGCTGTCTATCCATTCATTCACTAGGCATAGCATTCACGAAGACTTGCTGCAGCTGTGATTTACAGTAGAATCAGTTGGAGTGGGAGTTGGAGTGGGAGTCAGAGACCGAAGACAGAAGGGACAGACGACATGACGGATCCTCTTGAGGTGACGATAACAAAAGTGTCTGACAAGACAAGAACGGACGAATCTAGCAAGTAAAGAGGACGAACAAAAAGCAACGAAGCAGCGCTGTCTTGGAAAAGCTCTTTGATCCGCACCTGGGGGGGTGACCGGACTGGCTCTTTCGCCGGACCGTCGAAGCCCTCCGGTTTCTCCCAGGCGCTCTGCCCCGTCTTGGCGTTGTAATAGTACTTGTACCCCTCGGGGGAGGTGTGCTCCGACCAATCGGATTGCGCAGCGGGGGGACACCGGGGGGGGTGCTGGGGCGTAGGCTACCGGGGGGGCTGGTACTGCTGGGGGGGCGGGCGTACTGAGGAAAAGAGGAATACTGGTAAGATTAGTGGTAGGTTCGTGGTTAAGGTTAGTGATTGGCAGTAGCGGTTGAATGAGAAAAGAAGTGGACAGTAAAAAATTGCGCGACTAGTGGGACGTTGTGCTACTGGGGGGGGCTGGTACTGCTGGGGGGGCGGGGCATACTGAAGGAGGGGGGGAAACAATGGTTGAATTTGATGGTTGGGTTTGGTGGTCAGGGTCAGTATTTCGACGTTGATGGTCAAGTGAGAAAGAAGTGGACAGTAAGAGAGCGCGTGATAAGTGGGACGTTGTGCTACTGGAGGGCTGGTACTGCTGGGGGGGCGGTGCATACTGGAGTAAACAGGAAAGGTGGTTAAGGTCAGTGGTTAAGGCTGGTTGTTGAGATTATTTTCAGATGTCAGAATTTAAGTGGGAAAAGAAGTGGACAGAGAGAAAGCGCGTGACTCGTGGGACGTTGTGCTACAAAGTTGGGCTGGTACTGCTGAGGAGGGGGGAGCGTAGTCGACGAGAGGGGGTGCGTAAACGGGAGGGAATAACAGCAAACAAGAAAGTATTCAGTGGGAAAGGACGTGGTAAGTGGGAAGTGTACAATGACATGCAGACTTGACCGACATGTGTAAAACCTGTCAGCCAAGGGAGGTCTCGAGCCAAGTCGAACACGGTAAGTACTCAACATCTGCTCCCGTGCATTTAGAGTCAATGTTATGGAATGATCGTGCACGACCACTTCGGTGGATCCAGTGGCAGGTTTTATATTGTGTTGTTGTCTTAAAGATCATGCACAGACTTTCAAAGAGGCATCGTTCTCCACAAGAGTTCTGACAAAGGGATCAGACGGAGACTTGACACAACTACCCTGGCCTTGGATATCTAAATCTTCACCTGCGGTTGCTGTACCGGAGGCTGGTAATAAGACGGCTGTTGGGGGGGTGCGTATGGCGCCGGCTGATACGGAGCCTGGGGGGCGTATCCCCTGCCGGCATAAGGAGGCCCCCTCGCGGGGGCCGCATATGGAGCTCCGTACTGGGGAGGGGGGGCTCTCGAACCGGGACCCCTGTGAAAGACACGCAGAGCGGATGAGGCAGGGACAAAGCCGGAAAAGGCGGGGACCAAAAAGAGGTAGATGGCGAATTATTGAGCAATCGACGAAGCTGGAAAACAGTGTTTGTGCGGACTCGATCCCGGGGAGGAGGGCTCTTGATCCGAGACCCTCAGAGACACAAGCAGCGGGAATGAGACAGGGAACAGCCGGAAAAGTGGGGGCAACTGAACCGAGAAAGGAATTACATGCGAATGAGGAAGACGGAAGAAGGCACACAAGCAGGTGAAGCGGGGCGCTTTAATCAATACCCGTGCGAGCCGTCCAATCTTCTAAGGACTCCGTTACCTATGGTCAGAGGGGAGTGTATCGCATGAACATTAGTCGGTTGAATAGCGGAAAGGGAGAATCTTGTGATTGTTACATACAAACCTATCATAACGATAAGGTTGCGTACCTGCCCCCAGCATACGCCGGTTCCCTACCCGCCCTAGGTCTGCAAGGATGAAAAACATGAGGCTTGAAGAATCAACTCCACTCATACTGACAGCAGCAAACCCATATTCTCTGGCTTGACGATGCTACTACGTTCCTTGACCATATGTTTGTGACCAATGGACCCTTTGCAACGACTTTTGAGGTTTCCTTACAGGTTGCCCTTCACAAGTTAGCGAATCGGACTACGAACAACTGTAACACTTTCAAAGCAGTAAGGACGTCTACATCGCGAGTTGTTTGAAGGGGAAATGTCCACATTCCGAACTTCAACACAGTACAATCCTCAATTCTGAGAGGTTTTCGACTCGCGCCCTGCAAACGCTCAGCCTTTGATCCTCTTATACAGGCAGGACACCAGCCTGATGCTACAGAACTTTCAACCCCGTAATGCCTGTTTCGTTCGTGGGCAAGTAAGGACTCGACAGACTGTGTGCACTCACTCTTCCCGCTCCCCCCTCCGCTTGGTGTCTGCAAAGCGGACTGCCAAAGGATACTCGCCGTTCTGCACAATAACAGATCATGAGGTTATGAACTCATTGCTTGCTGCAAACTACAAACCCTACAGACGACGAACCTCCCAGACTTCTTGATGAGGCAAGTGGAGTCTCTCCAAAGCGGTAGAAGAAGCAGAGTCAACAGGTGAGATTGCAGCGTCAATTAGGATGGACGTAGCATCCAACGAAGTGGAAGATTTCAGTCGAGACCGTATAAGAAGAGGTCCATCTGGACGGTTCAACGCAACGAGCTTCTTTCCATCCAGGAAGAGATGCCGATACAGAGTGCCACTTTTGAATTTCTGCTCTTCTATAACCTGTATATTTATCGATACTCTCACAAAAAGCTATCACACGTTGAGAAACAGCCATAAGCGAGCAGATTGAAAAGTACGAAAGCAATTGTGACTCACCAGGATGGTCTGCGCTCCGTTCAGGGTCTTGATAGCGCCAAGAGCCGCGTCGCGCGAGGAGTACTTGACGAAACAGCACCCTGTAAGAGCCACCAACGATAGTGGCGTGTCAGCAACACAACGGAGTCACGCCGAGACCAAACATCAAAAAATGATTGCAAGATCAGGTCACTTCGAGTCCCCACAAATATCCCTTTCCACATCTTTTCTGGTCAAACCATTCGTTTCTCTGAGTGTAATTACGAGAAATCGGGTGAAAAACTGGTACCAACCTCAGCTGACGTCAGAATGTTGCTCACCTCTGCTGACCTTGTCCGGGCCCCTCATAACGTACAGATCCTCAATCTCTCCATAAGGAGTAAATACCTGCAGGGATCGATTCGGGTGCCTTGGTGGCTCTTGAAAAAGGAGGGGTTCCTTCAAGGTACACAGGCGCTTGGCAGACTCAAAGAAAGGGAGTCAAGCTTTAAAGAAAATTCGTTGAAGAACAAAGAGAGGAGCAGGTACCCAGAATCTTGGAATCAAAGGAATCAGCCAGATGGACGGATTGTGCCTTGGGCAGTCCAAATCGTAAATCGAAAACCAAATGCTTCCTCTTCAGAAGAAGGCTTTGGAGATCAAGAAAAGGCTGGGCAAATGCTTATCCAAAAGCTGTTCAGGGAGAGAAGGGGGATGGCGAAGGTTCCTTAAGATACGAAGCCTACGGTGAAGCGCAAGTCATTAAACAAGTTAGTGCTTTGGTAAGGAGTCCCGTCTCTGATTGGGACACCCAACAGTTAAGACGGCTCTGCAAGCAGCCTCACCTCTCTGATCTCGTCCTCGGTCGCTGTCTTGTTCATGTTCCCCACGAACAGCTTGTGCTCCACGTTGCCTGCACCAAAAAGTGGCCAACACGTCGTCAGTTTGAAAGATTGGACATGTACAGCAATCATCCACACACCAAGCAAACTATCTGATAGCAGCAGAGGCGTTGAGTTGATTGACTGTCATTTTATGTCCAGATGACTGAGCAAGGCCATCAGGAAACCGCCTTGCGGACGAAGTTGCTCACTATTGCTTCACGATCAAACGAAGTGCCAGGCTCTGCTTACCGAGGCGCTCCCTCTCTCCATCTGCATAACGGACCTGGATTGGTCCGTTGCCCTGCAATACCGCGTGCACAATAATGAGCCACAAAGTAGGGCAGGCTTGAAGCACACAGGCAGTCAAGATGAGCTGAGAACGAATATTCAGGAGTCCCAATAATATTCTGGACATGAATCGTCACTTTTCTTACGCACCATAAGAGGTGTCCCATGCTCAATTATACCAATCAACAAGCTACCTGGCAGAAGCGGAGTTGGGGGGGTAAACAGACTCTTCATCACATGATTGTATGACATGATGTGTAGGGAAAGCCACAGGGCAATAGAAAGTGAAAGGATAAGAGGACTCACCCCAGGTAGTTGTTTCATGTTATGGAGACCTGCAATTGCTTTCTCTGCTTCTTCTACAGTCTTGTATTTGATAAAAGCACATCCTGCATAAGACATGATCATGCCGCCATGAAGTCAACATATGCTTGAGCATGTAATACATTTCTAGACAAGCAGGCAGTCAGGTAAGCTGCGGCAGTGAGAACCAAGTGCCACTTATCATGACAGAGGCTAGCCTGAGGAGAAAAATGAGTGAGTAGATATGTTAGACATCCTCTTGCACACGGGATGTGTATGAGTGACTTTGATGTGAGAAGTGGTACTGAGATGAAGAAGGAGCAATGCAGTCAGAAAGATGCTTGGCTAGGAACAGATTGCCTATACATTGAATATGTAGGCCAAGAATGCTCTACGAAGCATTGACAACAAGATCCGATTCAATCTGCTTTGTCCACTTCCAATCAACCACAACATAGCTCTATGATAGGTAGCTCGTCATGACCACCACTCGTGTGTCGCATCTGTGCCAAAGTAAGATGGGTCGACATCCACACATCTGGCCAAAGTAAGATGAAACGACATCCACCCAACGAACAGACAGAAATCATGGGAAAACCGCCCCAGAAAATGGACCCTTGCCATCATTGGAAAGCATGAGCATGCTGTCCGTCCATGTAGTGCCTGCACTGACCATGTTAGAAGCACAACACAGATGTGCATGGTGCAGCTGTGCTAAGAACATGGGGTTTCTCATGCTTCCAATCAACGATACATTAGGCAAAATCTGGAGACATGAGCGTCTACTTAATCTGTCTGACTTCTGAGGCCATTGCTTCGCCCTGTTCTGAGCTGTCACCGAGGCCCCTGTACACGGTTAGCCCCAAATCAGCCACCAGGTCTTGAGATCTTCTCAGAAGCAGAAGTCGAACCCCAATCAAGCAAATAACGGAAGAAAACTCACCATAAGAGCCATGAGTGGCATTGACTCGAGCAGCACCCATAGATAGAGAACTTACCATAGACCGCCACCATTACTAAACTTGGTGTCATATGCCCCAGTCAAGTATCATGACTTGCTTCTCTCTCATGCTGCTTACTTTCTGGAAAATCAGCAGTCTGACTGCCAAACCGGAATGTACAATGTCAATCAGGGTCAAGAACAAGAACTTACCTTGACTTGTACCGGTAATTTTGTTCTTGATGAGCACAATCTCCAAGACCTCCCCGTATTCATCAAAGAGAGGCTTAATCTGCATCAGACAAGGAAGACTTGCATTTTTCATGTGACCACCGAGCCATCCACCCGTGCACCAAGAAGAAAAGGGGGCTACGTTTTGAAATGCTAGCGTGTCTTGGTTACCTTTACAGGATTGCCGCATTCATAGCATTGGACTTCAAGATATACGGACATTTTGAAATCCACAATCCTACGAAAGATGCTTACAACAGCACCAGCTTGCAGCTTCAAGACACTGATGTCAAGAGGATATTGCTGCTTACCTCTCCCTCTGTGAATGTCTTCGGAATTGATCCCGCAAACAGCTTCACATACTCCTGGATAAGGGTTGCCGAGTGAGGAGCTGCAACAAAGAAGACGTGTGCTTCAATTAGTTAGGCGCAGCAAAATACCTGTACAAAGCCGCTATTATCTGAAAATGCCTGAATCTGAAGGACTGGTTTTATTATCCCTCAAGAAGGTAGGATGATTGCATGCAAGAGCTGAGGCAGTGATAATCTGCGCTCAAGGCGTGCACAAAAAGGAGCCTTGTAGAAAGCAATGGAAGACGACTCTGATGTTCCAGCAGCATCTGTTAAGGGAAAGAAGAAAATTGTCCCTCAGGAGAAAAGATTGAATGGCTGACAATTACCGAATGCATCGGTATAAATATTCTTATCTTGAAGTCTCACGCTGAAACCATATGCTGGATACCAGAAAAAAAGAGCGAATATGTTTGACAATCACAGCAGGCGGAGTGGTGGCATCCAGCAAGCACTCCCAGCCAAAGGAGAGTGCTGCAGAGTGTTGCAGATTGAAGGCAAACACAAAGAGCAAGGTGGTCTGGGAAAGGGTGCGTCTCTACAAACAGACCACTATCGAAAGCTGCTTCCACCCTGATCAGTTGACAGCTTGCGACAGAGAATTGCTTTTACCATACTGAAGGCAATATTGTAGCGCCATGACTAGGATCATTCAAGCATTACACCATCAATTAAGATCACCTCCCATCGATATCATTGCCCTGACAATGATATTCATGATCAATATATATATCTATTCAAAACCCTGCAACGATTGGAGTTGCCACTTTAGTGGATGCACATAATACCTGGAGTGTTTGGCGCCACTGGCTCCGTGCCAGGAACAGGGACATCGCTAGTCAACCCGTTCTGCTCCTCCTGCTCATGTTGCTCCTCCTGCTCATGATGCTCATGATGAGCGCTCTGCAAATTTTCAAAATGCTGCTGCACCTCAGCCGTCTGCTCCTGCTCTGGGTTCGTGGCTGGGACCTCGGCGCCTCCGTCCGCCATAGCTGCCAGTGCAAACAAGGCGTCGCTTGCTCGTCACGTCCTCGCTTTTCTCGTCTTCTGGCACCATGCAGCGCTTGGCCAGCCTGTGACTTCCAGAACTCAAAACTTCCAGTTCGTCGAGTCCGACCTGTCACAGTCACGCAAAACGGACAAAGAAGCCAAACATTTTTGGGAATAGATTGCTCGTCGACGCAAAGTATGTCAACCGGGCACTGCTCATTCAGCACAACCGAGTGACTTTGGTGGGGTTGGTGGGCGGGTTAGGGTGGGCTGGGGTGGGCTGTGGCGGAACGACTTAGGGTTTTGGTTAGGGTTAGGTCACTTGTATTCAGGTTTTTAGTGTTGGTCGGAGGCCCCGGTAACAATCTGGCCCGGTACAGAAGCCCTGCAGTGGTGGGTACCTTAGCTTGCAGCGGTACTTGAAATCAAGCTTGCGCGGTGCCCACCTCTTGAGGGCCAACGCCGACCCGCGTGCGGTTCCGAAAAATGTTTGGCTTCTTTGTGCCTATGCTCTT